TTAAGTACAAAGCTACAAAATGGGCTATCTGTGCTCTGCCCTTCACGGTATCCGGAAACCGGTATTCTAGCGTTAGTAAGTGCGCAGACATACTGTTGTGCCACTAGGGGGGGGGGGGGGCTTCAAGAAAGTTAACAAGTTAAGTTTTCTTTGCTTTACTGTTCAACACAAGAACCTGAAGTGCATAAAATAAGATCCACTTATAAAGACTACAATATTTAAACATATTCTTTAAATCTTGACTTCATATTTTAAATTTTAATATAATAATATTTATCTAAAATACTTAAATAAAAGTTGCCCTACATCCAAGTGGAATGTAACTGTAATATTGTTTGTTTTAATTTTAGCGGAAAGCTGCACAAGGAACTATATGTGATGTTTACGCCGCGGGGATCGAACCTTGAATGTTTAACATTATAAGCCCTCGAGCTTACGGCTGTATTTTAGTAGTATGGACTTTGTTGAGAAAAAGTGAACTGGACATTCCAGAAAGATCATTACTGTTTTATTGTTTTTGTTTGACCTACAAAATTTTGAATTGTTGAAGTGTAGAAATAACACTGAAATGAGGGTGAAGAAGGGTGTTCTTATAAAACATCTCTCTCTAGTATTTACTTGTTTATCTCAAGTGTATACTTTGGTTACATCATATTCGTATCGTATTCTCACTTTGACGTAAAGACACGGTCGTATGTGTATGTGTGTTCTAGTCTACATGTGTTTAAGAGGAAATTCGCTTGATTCTGCGCGTTGAATTGAGTGACATTATCACGACTATTCAAACTTAACCTTCATAAAGATTTTATTATTTTGACATTAAAGCTTTTTCGTGATTAAATGTTTAAACATGTCCTTCTATTGTTATTGTTTTCTCAATTCATTAAATGATGTCTCAATTATGTGTTTGTGTGTGCTTCTGATACACAGTTCAATGACACGACCTCGTGACTGTGATAACTAAGCGTGTTCTTGTTGCTATGCTGAACAGATATAAACAAGTAGGTTACTCTAACGATAGTTTTTCATTTGTTTAATAGTGTTACTGAAACTGTAAATTTCAGTAGTAATTACGTATTTATTATTTGTTAAAAGACACATAAATTGAAAAGAAGATGAACCATGCCAGCTTTTACTTGCATAATATTGATATTAAACATTAATTTTCAAAAGGCACAAATAATTGAATTTAAATATCTTTTTATTTCGAGCTAAACTTTTCTAAGAAGTGCTTATCGTTTCAAATGTGTTGTTACTATTACTGATAAGCGCTCGTTACGGTCTAAAGTGCTAATATTGACAAGTTTTTTGTTGTTGTTTTTTTTTTAAAAAACGCATAGAAAATTTCTTCATCAAACGCGTTTTGTTAGTTAACCATCTTAAATATGCTACAAAAACATAACAGTTATAGATCAGGACAAACTCTAGATATTATATCGTTTGAGATTTCCCATCTATCACAACTATTTTTACATTTTATTACTACGGGGAGACACTTGAGTAATAACGATGATAGTTAATGAATTTGCAAAAATAGGGTTAAAAGTGCAGGTAAAATATATCGTATGGAGCATGTAAAAAAAGAGTAATTTTAGTAAAGTGTGAACAAAGCTTTAGAGATACTACATGGAAATGGTCACACATCCATCGCAAAAAATAGTGACCGTCAGATCAGTCGTAGTGGTTAGTGGTCTTAAATTAGCCAGTTTGATTCTTGGCCTTTTCTAAGAGTTCGGAGCGGTTAAGCGACGACATAAGCATGGAGCTTGTTATAAAATACTTTAGTGCTGACCATGGACTTAAATTAACATTAACAGCAGAAACCTTATCCAAATAATAATAATAAACATTTTATAGGTCTCTAGATAATTCTGAGATAGTAGAATAATCTGAAAACATGTCTTTTTTTATCAGAATTTAAAGGACACAGAACGTATAATGTTAGGAAAATTACATTCTTTTTCTTATATATTTTTTAACTTTAGAAATGTATTGGTTTTTAGAAAGCACCAAAGCTAACAGTTTTCTTTTAATGATTTCTTTCCTACTTTCTTGTCACATAAATTTGAAGGACGATTAGAAAGAGTAAGATGGAAATGATATATGTCAATGATATACAAACAAAGAAAGTATAGAAAAATTTAAAACATGTAAAATAAGATTTGTAAACAGATTATGATTTCAGTAGATGGCGCTAAAGTCTTCGCATGGCTTGTGGTATTTGCTGATCATTTACTTTGAAGAAACTTTTATACATATCAAATAAGTTGAATGCTCTATATTTTATTTATATTGACTTTCAACAGTAGTACTTGTGTTATGTAGATAAATTATTACAACTTACGCTGCAAGTTTAAATAGAACTTTATATAGAACGACAGAAGTAAATCGGTGTTGTTTATACTCTCTTAGTGAGCTAGTGCCACAGTGAACTGATGAGGTTAACGAAATTTCTTCCACATTTTCTACGCCAGTTCCAGACTGATTTAGAGAACTCTACGGAGCTACAACAAACTATGAAAAAGTTCTATGGATTTGCGAAAAAAAAAATTAAATGTTTATACTTGCTATTTAAACAAATGTGGTGACATGAGAGTAGTTTACACTTACAGTCATAGTAATAAAAATACCCAGTGTGACCTATTCAAAAGTGATAATCATAAGAATGCTTTGAGTTCAGTTAATATTAAAATATTTAATTTAAGCCCATTGCATCCACAACACAATATATCAGCATTGCTGTGTTATAATAATTCCCCCCAAATAATGGGTTTGTTAGCTTATAAAGCCATAAGTCTTAATACCCTTAAGAGTTTACCTAGTATCAGTCTTTACAGAATGTTTTCAAACTCGTATGCTAAAAACTTGGGGAGTTCTAACATCAAGAATGGAAAATCTTCAAGTAATTCAGTTAATGAAGATATAGCATCAAATTTAGAACACAAAATAACCGAAAAAGAAAAGTGTGAGGATATAACTTCATTTCCACTACCATTGGGAAAAATCCAGTCGAAAAAGATGATGTTGGCATTCACTTGTAAAGTGTGTAATACCAGAGTCACAAAGCTGATATCAAAATTAGCATATGAGAAGGGTGTTGTTATTGTTCGTTGTCATGGGTGTGAAAATAATCATTTAATAGCAGACAATTTAGATTGGTTTCCAGATCTTGAAGGAAAAAGGTAAGTGATACTTTGGGTATTGGAAAAGTTATTTCCATAGGGTATGTGGGTACATTTTTGCAGTAGTTAATTCTATTTTATAAAATCTATCATCTGTGATTTTATTCTTTTTTTCCACTCTTCATATCAAAGAAAATCTTTTATAAGTACTTAAATAGTAGACACAGATGGTTATTTTACACACAAGTTACAAACTGTAAATGGGTTAAATAATGAGTACAAAAATATTAAAAAATAAGCATTTTTATTTACCTTTAAAATATGCAATGTTTTACTTTTACAACTCGACAGTTTAAAAAGATGTATGTGAATCCTTCCGTTTATATAATTCACATTGATAAAATGGTGATGGTTACAATTCTTGACATGTATTGTACCAATGGTCATGTTAAAATATATTTAATTCTTTTACTTACCCCTGAAATAATTATGCATATGTTCTTCTGAGATACAAGTTCCATGTGGATTAAAGATAAACAACCTGATAAGTTTCTGATATAAAAATAGAATCCAAAATTGTCCAAGTAATTACAGCCCTATTAGTCTTATATAAGATTAAAAGTAGTAGGAAAAGTTTTTGAAAGTCTGATAAAAGATGTTTTACAAATTACTGGATTGTCAACATGGTTTCACTGTGGGAAATCTTGCCTTACTAATCTTTGAAGAGGTTATTGCTTATATAGATGAATGGAAAAGTGTGGGATATATCTATCTAGATTTTCATAAAGTATCTGAAAAAGTGCCACATAAAAGGCTTGTTAAAAATTGACCTCTATAGGTGATAAGTTGGCGTCGAAAAATGCTGGATGAAAGAAAGCAGAGGTTTTGGGTGTTACTGGGATTTACATTATTTAGTGAATTGGATGATTAAGTGACAGATGGTTTTTAATTGTAATAAATTGAAGGTAAAGGTCAGGCCACATTTGGAGTATTGTGTTTAGTCTTGGGCTCTTTTAATAATTAATATCTTAGGAATGACACTAAATTGTTGGAAAGGATTCAGAGGAAGGCCGCTAAGATGATACCTGGGATGGAAAGGTTGTGATATGTGGACAAATTAAGGTCTCTGAAATTGTTTTCTCTTGAAAAAAGAAGAGTTAGAGGAGATCTGAATTAGGTGTTAAGGTTGTTAACAAATTTTATAGTGTTGATGAATCATCTTTTTTTGTTTTATTTGAAAATCAAACTATCTTCAATTTTTATGTGACAGCTCCATTTTACAGTATAGGATTATCTTTTGTAGATAAACCTTAGAGTTGTGAGATTGTCTTTGGTTTGTGAAGGAGTCCATGTTGAAAAAAATGTTTGAGAATTACTAAAATAGATGAATAATAATTCTTTGGTTGTTGTTAAAAATGATATACCTAATGAAAAGTTGCTGAAATATTCCCATACTTTTTATTCCTACAGTCGTAAGTTGTTCACATATATCATAGGAGTTTGTGAGAAATTTTATTTAAACTAAGAAAGATGAATTATAAGTATAGACAATCTCTCGAACAATGTATCAGTAAAATGTTTATAGATAAAAAGTTATGTTTCACTAAAAATGTATTTATTGTTTCAAACAAATTTTGGAGACATGATATTTGATGAAAACGGCAACAAAATGAAGCATTATCATTGTCTTGCATGTATGTCTTTTGATGTGTTTTATATATTTGCTTTTTTTGTAAAATGGTCTTTAAGACAATGTATACTTACGTATTTTCACAGGAATATTGAAGAAATCCTCAAAGAAAAAGGAGAAAACGTACAGAGAATATCTGTTGATAAAGATACAGTAGAATTCTTGAAACCAGATTAAAGAAATTGTGAATATGTTATAAACTTTGTCCTTTGATTCATGTTTACATGTATTCTAAATTAAAATGGTTGATGAATCTAGAACTGGATTTTTGTCTGAAAGTTTATAAAAAGAAATACATGGAAGTTCTTTGGGTAAATCTGAAAAAATAATTCACAATCAACACAACTGAATTTCAAACTTACTGGGTCAAAATTCATTATGTAGCTTACAATTGAAAAGGGTTTGCAGCTTCACAAAACTTTGGAGCAAGTAGGTTCTACTGTGTGAAACTGAACAAAGGAAACAGATATTTTTAGGTTATTTATAACCTTCTAATACAAAGATGTAGATGTAGATGGGATGGTCAAAGCAATTTATGTAGGCATCTTTTTTGATTTTTAGAAAAAAAGAACTTAATGATTATTCTTCTTAACTTTGTTAACGCTAACTGGAGTTTATTATGAGACATTTCTAGAAATGTAAATAAAATCACGACCTATATCTCCAGAATGTACCTTTATTAGCTCAATATTTCACTATTACAGCTTCGTCAGGAGCTATCGATATCCCACAAGTTCACTAGTCCATTTAAATCAAAGTTTAGATAGCCGATGAAGCTGTAGTAGCAAAATATTAAAGTTACATTCTGGAGATTTTGGTCATGATTTTAGTTACGTTTATAGGAACCTATTGTTATAAGTTTTTATACATTAGTAAATAATGTAACTCAGTGCAAAAACTTTGTGATCGTAATGTACGCATCATTGGTTGGGTAGAAAAAATAATGTTATGGTTTCTATAAAGACAAGAAAAGGTTTTAGAAAGAACTATTTTTTTTCATCCAGGAACTTAACAAAATAATAAATGTTTAAAACAGTGTGAAAATCATGAAAGATGACACAAGGTAACTGTAATCATGAGTCACACATATTTTCAGAAAACTGTTAATTTATTTTTTAAACTTTGTCTGTTCTAATATTAATTTCCATTTCTGGTGAATTGTACAGGTTGATGTTTAACTTTGTCTTCTTCACAATCTTTTTTTTTAAGTAGCTTTATATTGAACAAGTACAGACATGTTACATTTTGTGTGCAAAGTACACTGTTATAAATTTAAAACCTAATATGTCATTAGATACACTTATGTTAACACTTAATTGACAAGTATTCTATTTTCAAAACGAAAATTGAATATTTACTTTTATAACTCTGGAACTTCCAATCTATTGTTTTGGCCCAGGTGCTCGACTCGCAATCTGAGGGTCACGGGTTCGAATCCCCGTCACACCAAACGTGCTCGCCCTTTCAGCCGTGGGGGCGTTATAATGTTACAGTCAATCCCACTATTCGTTGGTAAAAGAGTAGCCCAAGAGTTGGCAGTGGGTGGTGATGACTAGCTGCCTTCCCTCTAGTCTTACACTGTTAAATTAGGGACAGCTAGTCCTCGTGTAGCTTATCACGAAATCCAAAAAACAAACAATCTATTGTTTTAAATGTTCATGAAGAGCTACATAAGGGTTATGAGTTAATTGTCTCTAATTATATAGACTAATGAGAAGGCAGTTAGTCACCAGAATTCTCGAATCAAATCGTGAAACTTCATCGTTGTTTTTATTAATGAACTTGATTATTTTAAAGTGGGAAGGAATTTTTTATGTCTTGGTAACAGAACATGAACAGTGGATTCTCAGATCCACAGTGGAGCATATAACCATTAGACTGGGCATGAACTTTCAAGTGACAATAATACTACACTTTGTTTGCCATGCATTATCTGGTATGTTGTCATAAATCACACTATTCTGGGCAGCAGGTTTTCACAACACTTACATAATTAACTTGATTTCATCAATTACCTATGAGCATTAATTACATCAATTAGTGTTGTGTAAAATAAGTACTCAAAATGAAGATTAACCCTGCATTAGTCTTCTGAGGTCTTTGTCAACATTGATGCCGACAGATGGCAGCACGTACATGTTTGTTGATCACAGTAGCTTCACTATTCAGTTAATTTGTGTTAAATAGTTACACTTAGTTTAGGTGGTAAAAAAGAAACAAGTTGTAATATTCAATGTTCATTTATTGATTAATAAAGAAAAATATTTTGAATGTTAGTGTTTTTTGTTTTCCAATATAATAGTTTATTAATTAAACATTTTTAAATTAATTTTTTATGATGGTGTCCACTAGGACCCCAGAAGAGTGACTAGGAAATTTTTTTTACAGAAGACTAATGCATGGTTAAATTGATTAATGCGACAAAAATAACGTTTCCAGTTATTAATGTTTCAACTATACAAATAATTGAAATATTGACATTATTATTTTATCTTATTTCATTTTATTATTATTTATTTTATTATTATTTATTTATTATTATTATTTTATTTTTATCAATTAGTATCATTACACATGAAATTAACCAATCTTAACTAGCATTTCCAATTATCCCAACTGTCCAAGTCTAGTGAGAAAAACTGATAAATAGAATATAACTGACTAACAAGCCCAACGACTAAACAATTATAAACTTTCACTAACTATCGAATTGTAAGTTTCACCGACTCAAAAATATGGTATTGGCCTTTTAAATGGTAATAGCAGACTTGCTGCGACTCTGACGTGCCACCACATAATTGTAGGACGAAAACCTAATAACAATGTTAATGGTACATATTCGTTCTATCTTACAATTGCTAAAAAAGTAATAATTAAACAACAAAAAAAGGGCACAAGTTTTTAATCGGTATAAATAATTAAGAATGCTTGAAGTCATGCATAGTAAAACAGCTGCAATTATTTATTGAGTACATGTGAAGCTTTTTTACCAAAAATAGGATATTACAGCTGAAATACAATCCAAGTGTAATTAACTTTTCACTCGGGCCTCTCTATGTTTTTTGTTCAAGTAAGAATGAAACACAGTTTGATATTCGAATTTCGATACCTCGCTACTATAAAGGCTTGGTTTGGTCTGAAGTTTCATTGGTGGTACTGTCCAGGATCACAGATGAGGAGTGGAATTCTCCGAAACTAGTCTGGTCCACAGACACCCAATGAAAGAATAGACCATACCTAGCTTTTACTTATTGTTAAACAAATGTTTAAACAACTCTATTCAAAAACAGTTTGATATTGAATACAATGCTCATTTTAATGACAGTAAACAAAACGAATGGTATTGGTCAAAATCATTGTTGGGCAAGGCAAGACTAGTAAGTTTCTTATGATAAAGATACTGTTTTATTATCACTAAATATATTTCACCTATCATCTGCCAAGTGATTTAGGCACAAGCTCTAACATTATTCAAATACCTAAATTATTTTATTGGAGATTGAAAAGGACTTAAAAAACCCGTTAATGGTTTTATCAATATAAACTTTTTTTTGCCAGGCCAGATGCTACAGAAAGTATGTAAATCACTATAGCATAAATGTTTCAAAAGTTTTATTAGAAACTGATCACAATATAATTACAAAAACATCCTTGTGTTTTATACATACATAGTGAGGAAACTTCCAAACAAACAAAAACAAAACACACTGATAATGACTGTACAGATGACTGATCATAGAAAACTATTGTTTATTTTGTTGTGCTTCCTTTCTGGCAGCATCCTGAAGTAACTGAGTGTCAACTTCGTCGGCTGGAAGCTGAACGTACCTCACTGCAGAGCCTCTAATAAAGCAGTTCTTTACAGAAAGCTGTAAAATACAGTTTAAAAAAATTACTGCAAGTCCTAAAATGAAATGAAAATTAGTCCATTGAAGCTGGTTATATATTACTGTAATTTCATGTTGAAAATATCTCACATGGAACATTTTACTTGCAGCTGTTTATATCTTTAACATATGCAGTACCATTTTTTAAGTATGTCTACATGTATCGTGCTCTTATTACTGTGGAAGATATTCTAGAATCATATACAGGACTATGTAAGGGGAAGCAGCTGCCCCTCAATTGTTTTTTTTAAATGTAATATAAACACAACATTCACAGTAATTAAGTCAATATTCTACAATTATCTGTTATGCATTTTATTTTAAAATTAAACTGTAAGTATTTACAGTGGTCTCAATTCCTGTATTTTTATATACAGGACAGGTTTGATAAACTCGTGATTTTGGAGGATGTTCACAATATTTTTACAAATATGAAAAATTTAAAAACACAAACAGTTTCTAAGTAATAACACAGTAGATTTATCGGCAAGAGTACTAATAAATCAAATACATAGACAAGAGTCATAAACTATACATATACTGAATGCAAACTCTGACCTTATCTTTACTACACTGTTGTTTATTTCATTCATTCATTAAACCAATTCCTCATTCAAAAAATGTGAACTTTATAAGATCTAACTTAGCAGAACATATTTTACGTCTGCTTCTAGTAACCGAAGGAGGCTCATAATAATTTACTAATTTTTATAGATTCGTTATATTAAGACTGCAAATACCCTCTTTTTCAAAAAAAGGACTGGTTAGATACTGTTATAAAGAATGTGTTTCTTAATGCACTGTCTCTCTTTTAATTACCACTCTCAACCGTAACCAAGGATGACGGAACTGATGGAGACTTTATCCACCCGTTGAAGCTTATTCCATTACTTTTTTTTAACCACGTTACGTCCCATTAATATTACCTGATGGTCAATTATAGCTAATGTTATTAGTATTAAGCCAAGCAATGGTGCTACAATAGGTTCTTGCTAATTTGTGTGTTGTGTGTGCTCATTGCATGTCAAATATTACAACACACATATGAATTTAATAGTCCTAACAAGCATCCATACTGAAATACACATATAATATATACTTATACAGAAGTACATAATAATCATTCTTTATACCGATATATCTTTATTGGTCAGTAAATTTTGTATCATGCTAAACTATATTTTTTCCCACTTGTATTGTTAGTGATAATAGACAGCAGTCATGCACAGTAAAACATTCATTTCTGAAATATAAAACTTCTGTAAATTCATTTTTATTAATAATAACGAGTAATCATATTGAACTTCATAAACAATTATACTGATCATTTTTCATTTTATAAGCATAATTAAGTTAATGCAAAAAAAATATCA